GGTAACGCCGCATATCTATGAGGGAGGGGACGAATTCTACCCGACCAAGAAGCGGAAGGAACCAGACATACTAGCGGCAACTAAGATAATAAAATTAGACAAGCGAGGTAAACAGAGTGAAATCTAAATATAATATATTTTAGTTATGTTTCATCACTTTATTTAGCACTTGTTATAATTCTAGCATTTATATTAAATAGCTCTTAGAACTATTCTTATAGGCTTTAATTCTTTTAGAACAAATTAGTAAATTACTTAAACTATCATACTTGTAATTTGCATTCGATAGAATCTGGTGCTAGAACCTCCAGGCCTGGCTTGATTTCTACGACAGACAAAGTACAAGCCCTGCTCTAGCAACTTGATACTCAGATAAAGAACCAAAGCTTGGCTCTGAAGCACTTGGGTCGCGTAGGTTTTGCTCACGAGGTGTTCGTCATCCACTGAAGGCATCTTGGGAATACTGTAACTTCAACCCTTGACGGATTCCCAATTTTAGGTTAAGATGGCGCAAACAATTGAGAGGCTTCTGGCCAAACGTATAGTAGTATTGCGAGGCGTATTAACTCTATGTAGAAAAACGCATATTCTAAATGAGTGAATACGACGTCGAAGTGAGCTGGACCATAGCCACTTGACTTGATGTTCTCGCCGAATCAATAGGCTCGAGTTCCTAGACAGATTACTTGGCAACGTCTCACAGTAAATGCTCGTGTATCAATATCATATTTAGGGATTCTACGTATTGTATTCATATAATCCTATACTCGTCTATTGGACAAGACACTTTGTAGGTAGTCCACAGAATCCCTCCTTAACCCCCTGCGATCCCTCGTTCTCTTGTTCAGCTGCAGTCTCCTTTCGAGTCTCGGCAGGCTTGATATTCTCCATTACCGCGGGCGCAGCCTTGACTCGGCTGCTTCCATGCAGTCAACCAGCAAACTTGGCAACTATCTGGTAGAAACTCTCCCCTTGAATGTTGGCTAGTTCGAGCTCCTTAGCCGATGGTTGGCGGGAACCGTCGCCACCTGCAAAGGTGCCTGCACCCCAGGCACTGCCACCACGAACCTCGGAGAGGTCAACGAGCTGGCCGAATGCCTTGGCGTAACCAAAAGGAACATAGATGATGCCGTGATGAACAAGAGTCGAGATAGCGTTCTGGGCAGTAGTTTCCTGGCCACCACCCTGGGAGGCAGTAGAAACGAAGATACCAGCAACTTTGCCCCAGAAACTACCAGAGCTCCATTGCTTGCCAGTCTTGTCCCAGAAGGCTTTCCACTGGGCAGGGAAATTTCCGTAACGGGTGGGTATACCAAGGAGGAAGGCATCATAGCCCTCAAGGACCGAGGGATCCTCCAGAACAGGGACGTCGGAGGCTTTCGGGGGGGCGTACATCTTAGCAAGAACGTCATCAGGCAGAGTCTCGGGCACCTGGAAGAGGTCGGCAGAGCCACCCGCCTTCTCGATACCAGCCTTCTCAGCTTCTGCCAGTTGCTTGATGTGGCCGTACATAGAATACTAACTCGAGCATTAGCGTGTACTGTAGTGTTTCAGAATCAGTCAAATGAACTGGCAATGCAGTGCCTTCTCTCGAGACAAGCTGTAATCAATGTACAAGCTCAATTGTTTCACATAAACGATGGTGGCGGGCTTGGGAAGAACATAGAATACAACTACGTACGTAAACGATAGCGATCTTGGGAGCCATTGTAACTGATTCGAAGATGCGGGGTGTTCAAGATGGAAGGGTGGGCTGTAACAATAAGTTATAAAACGGTGAAGCTATTCAAGGCATAGAGAGGGCCTACTTTGTCTTATAGCCTGGAGACCTGGAGCGATGGTGGTTTCTATCCGCAGTAGCCAGGCTATACGATACGGTCGCTCAAAATACGTATCATTGGCGCAATTCTACCTGTTCCCAAGTCTACAAATACACCGGTGTGAAGTGCAAAGGAACGCCTGACACAGATGGATGCTCTTCAATTCGATATATTTCAAGTCCGACTGTGCGCGCGGTTATTGTAAATCAAACCCCGGTCTTATCACCTGGCTACTGTAGGCCTTGAACTATATTTGTAAGCTATTACTGTAATCTGAGCTACAGTACAGTGCTAGAGTAATTAGTAATAGTGGTTAGCGGCCCGACCGTCAAACTTCGCTGACAAATTGCTTCAGTAGACATGACAAAGCGGCTGGCACGGACTAGGCAGCTGTGTACGAAAGGAGTGGGTCGTTGCATGACAGGCTATAGAGACTGTTGGAAAAAACCCCCGACTCCATACAATGACTCCGCCCCACAGTACATGGCACTTTCTCTAGCGCAATGGTTTCCTCTCCTCCAAGCTCCTTTCAGTCATTTCGTCAAATGAAACCAGCGCATGAACTGGTTGTGTGGCAGAATCAGAGAACGCACCACTGCTGCAAACTCGCAGTTGTTGGGCTACTCGCCGTGCAGTAGCGCGCCGGGACCCATCGGCTTCTCCATCGGCGCCGCTGAGTCGCCGATTCAGGTCCTAAAAGTCAGGTACAGCAGCACCTGTATCTAGTCAGACAGTTTACCAAGCACATGATTAAAGACAATCAATCATATTGTCTTGAGAAGCATATCCAGGACCCGGAGCCTTGCTGGCGCAAGCGACACACTGCCCACATGAGAAATGGCGGACTGAGCCGCACGGAGCTGTCTGGATGGCAAGTTAGCATCCGTAGCATCCGTAGCATCATACCGTTACCACCGATTGTACGCTAATCTTAGCCGCGGGTTTGCGGGCGCTCGACTGAGGCAATCTTCTCCTCTCTACCTCAGCATTCTAACTAACGGAGCCCTCAGTCGCGTCACGAAGGTCATTATCGATGCCGCTATCGGCCGCGGACATGACGCTGCTACCAAAAATGCGCCTCCCCTTTTTTTTCTTTTTCTTTCAGAGACTTTCAGAGACAAGACGGTCGGTTTAAATGGAAACGTAAAAGGACGAGTCGAAGGATTCCAGGATTCTATAAATAATGGTGCTGGTCCTTACTTGATGAAGGGCTAATAAAATAAAAAAAAAAAAAAAAAACTAAAAATAAAAATAAAAATAAAAATAAAAATAAAAATAAAAATAAAAATCAAATAAAGATCGAATCAAATCGAACATTCAACTTGTCTTGATTTAGAATTGGGATCAATTTGATCATTTAGATAGTCCTGCTTCTGTGTCTGCTTAGAGTCAGTCTTTGAGCTCTAACTATCCACCCTGCGAGACTGAATATTCGCTTTGCCTCGGAAAGATATCGCAATGAATTGGGAAAAGATCAACCGCCACTTATGACAGACTTGGATGTTTGACCATTCTTTGGAGTCTGCACCTTGCCATGGGAGCCATCAAAGCCAAAAACTATGGCAGTTCAATTGGGAGGCCGTGGCTCAGTTACCAAATTAGGCAGGATCTCAGGGCAAAAGCGGCAAGTAATAATATAGAATAGACAAATATATACATAAAACATCTTGGGACGCATTAATACCTAAATGCAGGATTTCACTGTCACTGTAATATATAGTATGTCCCTGATAGTCGAAGACTTCGGAAAGGTTGTTTGACAGGCGAGGATCTTAGCGACTGTGACCTCGGCCGCAACGGTGACAATAGCCTCGACATCACCAGTAGCAAGATCGGGATGGATGCCAACATCGGCAACGAACTGGGAGAACGTAACTAAATGAACTAAAATCAAGCGAGAGAATGCACTTACGAGGTTGTCCATTCCATAGACCTTGACATTGGTGTCAACAACAGCTGAACCTTCCTTGCGGCCATCAGTGCCCATCTTAGTAGTGCCAACGAAGTGGGCTTCTTGGGTTGGTCGAGGCAGCGCAACGCTGCAGGTGAGCGCGAGTCTGGGGGTGCGACGACCCTCGATGGCGTTGCAAATACTCGTTGTGATATAGTTGTTTATTTCATGATAATCAAAGTATAGATTAGTATTTTAAGCTCTAGTAAACTTCTTACAGTTGGGTCTATACTGAACCTACAATTACTACCAAAGATACAATAGTTAAATATTAAGTTATCAAAGGAATTCTATGATATAGTCAGTAATCAATTTCCAAGATGACTGATAACCAATAACATTATTTATTCGACCTCACTGAGTGTGGCTCTCATGTATTTAGAAATATAATTACTAAGCAGGTAGTCTCGATTTGAATTACCGCGCGGTATGTGATTGTCATCGTGCTGCTAATGATAAGCGCGAATGTAGTGTAACGACAACCTTGGTGAATCTCCACTCTTTTTCCCCAAACGCAGTAGATCCGGATGAATATCGTACCACAACCACCCCTTATCCCGGCATTTCGGTGACCGCTCTTGATTTGTAATGTGAAGAACAACCGATTAGTGAACCCGTGAAAGAAACTAGCAGAGCTTCTGTTTCATATTTGGGATAAAAGCTGAGACTGTAACCCATAAGTGCTACAGAGACCAACCTCAATCTTACTCTTCAATACCGATTACAATGTCGCGAAACATCCTTGTCACTGGCGCGACCGGCAAGCAAGGTGGCGCCGTTGTGCAGGCCTTGCTCGACCGCTATTCCTCCAAGTTCACCATCCTCGCCGTCACTCGCAATGCGCAGTCCCCTTCCGCACTGCGCCTCGCTAAAAGTTCCTCTGTGAAGGTCGTTCAGGGGGATCTTGATAATGTATCGGCATTATTTCAAGCGGCCGAGAAGGCTGCTTCTGGGAGCGTATGGGGCGTCTTTTCTGTCCAGGCCGCCGTAGGCGGCGGAGCGACATCCGAGAGCGAGCTAAGACAAGGCAAAGGGCTAATTGATGAGGCCATCAAGCATAACGTACGACAGTTTGTCTACTCAAGTGTTGATCGCGGCGGCAACGATCAGTCGTGGGGCAAAGCGACCAATATCCCCCATTTTCAAGTAAAAAACCAGATTGAAAAATACCTTCGAGATCAGACAGCAAACGGCAAAAGCAGTATGGGCTGGACGATCCTAAGACCTGTTATCTTCTTCGATAATATTGCACCAGGTTTCGAAGCTAAGGTCTTCATGACCAGTTTTCGCGACGTATTAAAGGACAAGCCGCTCCAGTGGATTGCTACTTCAGATATTGGTATCTTTGCGGCAGAGGTTTTTAATAACCATGAGCAATATGCAAAGAAAGCAATTGGCATCGCGGGAGAGGAGCTTACATTCAGAGACATGAATATCGCATTCAAAGAGGTCACAGGCCACGGTATCGGAACCACGTTTGGCTTGCTTGGCAAAGCGTTGAAGGCTGGAGTGAAGGAGGTCGGGACCATGCTAGACTGGTTCAAGGCTGAAGGATACAATGTTGACATGGCTCTGGCGAGGAGCATTCACCCTGGCGTGAAGGGCGTACGTCAGTGGCTGAAGGAGGACAGCGCTTTTCCTCGACGTTGAAGCGATCTGGCCCTTTTGTGAGTTGAGCATACTATTACGGTGGGATTATTGTATCAGGTGACGGGGCAACGTAATTGGCATTGCGTGTAGTCATTATCTCTATTGTGCGCATCTCCTTCACATATCATTAACAGAACTCATTAATAGCTTAATTATACCAGCAGCACCTATACTACTGCCTACGCAGAAAATATCACACTTATAAGGCCATAGAGAAAATGCGTCACGACTCCATGACTGGCCTTGGCAGCCGTCGGATATGGCTTTCTTGCTGAGTCCGAGTTATTCTCACAGGGTTTAATCTCTGTCTCCATAAGGCTACTCGAGAAGCCTGTCAATTTCTTCTCGTAAATTTCTTACAATACAGCATTTTAGGAAAGCTGAGTCACGGTAAATACGACTTTCCAGCAACGATCGGGCAAGGACATGGGGAGTGGTTTGTTCCAGGCATTGCCTGATGCGCTCACAGCGGTAAATCAAGGATATAATGCATAGTACTCAAAGCATGAGGCTATTAGTCATCGAAGGGGCTCTCGATTCCGTTGGCCACTAGTGCGTTCAATGAATGATCTGATTATTATATCAAGGTAGCATTGACGCCACGACACAGTGGCGGCCCGATCCTAACAACATTGCTAGAATGGGAACTCGGCCATCTCTTCCATTGTCCAGTAGCGTCTCATGCTCTCAGCCCCCAATGTCTTGACTTCCTGGTCCAGGTGCTTCAGCAGCGTCTCGCCCCATGATTCCATTTTTACTTTGAGAGCATTGAACTGGAACTCGATATCGCCATATCGGCAGGCTATCAAGTACTCCCGCATAGCTGTCATCCCACTATGGATCTCCTCATGTTGTTGGAGTAACTCGGCGGCCGCTTGATTGCCCGTATTTGTTCTGAATTCTGGCATTTTCTCTGCCAGGATGGGGAAGATGTACCGTTCTTCAATTCCATGATGTCCTTCAAGATTGTCGATAAATTGGATGCCTTACCCAGACAAGGCATTAGTGTTAGTGCAGGCCATGCAAGATTCAGATGGGAACGTTTACCTGTTTCAATGAATTGCTTGAGCGATAGATTGGATGGCCGCTTCTGGGTATTGGCGGCACTGTAAAGTATATGCCACATGTACCGGAAACGGTCATGCTTCTGTCATCAAAATGGGGACTTTATAGAGGTTGTCGCAGAACAGAAATACTTACAAATCGGTCCATTCGCACTGCGAGGCGATTATAGACGTTAAACTCATGATCCGATAAAGGCGGAAGCTCTTTGGGCTCACGAAGTTGCTCTTGCTTTGACAATTCCTCACCCATGGTCGATAGTGTTGAATAGTCTTTGACATTATACTGCAGATTGAACAGACTATTCAGTTTATTTCAAGTTTATCTGCAATAACTGGTGGTTTACATTGCAAGCTCCTGCGCTAGGGGGATTATCAAAGCGGCCTTTCGGTAAATTAGATGCCGTTCCGGCTTAATAATTATGCCGAGTGATGCCGCGTGCCGCCCAGTCCCACTTGGGCACGTTGATAGCCAGACCTCCTGACAGATGACTCTTTCCATGGTATGAACTAGTGCAGTTCGGCGCCATACGCCGGCTGTCCTCTCTACACAGTTGCGTGTTCCTACTGTCTACAGTGATTTAAGATTGGCCTACCAGCTAAACCCCAAAGCTGAGAGCAGATAGTCTTGCTTTTCTTGACATACCTAAAGCGTAAAATATGATTATGATAACTATACCTCAACGAAGTTGCCACGTATGATCAGACGATTATGAAATAAGAAAAAAATCTGTATTTAACAATTAAAGAATGAAAATTTTATAAAAATCTTTTTCTTTTTTTTTGTTAAATCATGATAAATCCTCTATTCTTCTACAAAGCATTAGTTGCAGGGGAGAGATAAGGTGAAGAGTCAAGTAGATTTAGACAGGGAAATCCTATCTTCTCTTCAATAAACATTTAATACCCTGTAACAGTTGAACGCATACCATTCGACTCACATACCACCGGATCATAACGACGTTTTGCTCAGTATCTTGCAGACAGCTTCACTGGCACCTGGAGACGAGAGCTCTCCAGCTCCAGACCTACGACTATCTCCCCACTCCGGCAGGACCTCCGTATCTTCGTCCGTCTAGAAGCCGGAGCTCCGACTAGGGTTCACAGTGGCTATGCCATTTGGATCCTAATCAGAGAGAAACTCAGCACCGTCTCAAATAAGATCCGACAAGTATTCCAGGTCAGATCAGGTTGGACAATTTCTGACTGCCAACCCTGAAACACGCGATTTTCTCGTAGGTGCAGGCCGAATGGATGGCTGAGTTGGGAGCTATTGCAGTAGAAACGAATAAGGAATAGCATACCTATGTAGTTTCAGACTTTCCTAGAAGACTGACTAACCTCTGTGGTAACGGGGTGGATAGTGATAGTGTCGTCAGTGATGTGATAGGGATCAAGATAGGGCTCAAGCTTGTTAATATACGTACCGGAAGGCGATTCTCGGGCAGCTCGCTAACCAAGTCTCTGCTCATGTCCTTCCTGAAGCCCACCAAGAAGAGGTTCTGGCCCCTCTTCGGTAGCTAGGCAGCTAGATTTATAGATAAAATCGACGTACCTAAACAGTGCGAAACGTGCTGGGGCTACTACTTTGGCCACAACTGCCATAGACAGCCAGCCCGCCAACGCTGTGGTAAGACTGGCCACATTGTAGACGACTGCGCTGCATGGGAACAGTGCGTCAACTGCTTAGGCCTCCATGAAGTCAGCCTTCCTACGTGCCCAGCACTGCCGAAGGGAGTATCGGATATCCTTTGCCACCTTACTAAAGAACAATGAGAGCACATCCGAATAGTGGGCGCTGAGACATACCGACGACGACACTCAGTATCACAACTAGAATCTTATATGTAAATCCAACAAAGCACGACCGAGCTGCCGCCAAGGAACGATTTCGCATCGTACGAACGTTCCGATGCTCGAGATCCGAGTCCACCTTTGTGCATCATGGTGATCACCGCCCCTAGGATGGGCTATGAAATAGAGGAGTCTGAGCATCCCAGACCAGGCTCACCGCGAAAGCGTCGAATAGGACTCATCGCTCTCTCTCATGACCAGGAATAGATACTCGCAGACACGAAAGAATGTCAGATACCGCTACCCGCTCCGGCTCACAACTACGCTCTGGTACTTGCTGACTCGGAACGATATGATATCATGCTTCTGCAAGAGTCGTGGATAGCTCATACGAAAACCCGCTGTCTGACCAAAACGCATCCGGCATACGACATATGTACTCCCGTCGAGATATGGGACAGTAAAAAGACTCGATCTAGAGTGATGATATATGTCTGCTGAGACTCGAAACTTCTAGCTGACCAGATCCGACCCTTTCAAACTCGCGATATTCTTTGGATTATGATCAATAGCTTGATGGTGGTCAACTTCAATCGCCAGAACGACGAGAAAGACGCCCTCAGTACGCTGCTACGATGCTCTATCCCTGAACGGTGCTTTGTAGCTGGCGATATCAATGCTAGACATCGAAGCTGGCAAACGGGCCAGACTACGGAGCGCGGCCAAGAGATTGCAGGCTGGGCGTCAAAAAAAAAAAAAAAAAAAAAAAAAAAAAAAAAAAGTTCTCGACCTCCTCAATACTGTTGGAATCCAGATAAATCCGCATGGCAACACAATCGACCTCGACCTCGCTTTTACTAACATTCCCCTCGCTGAAGCCATTGTCGAAGACCATCTCGCCACTAGCTCGGACCACCTCACCCTCAGTGTGACCCTCCCCGACATCAAACCCGCTCCGATACAGCCGGGTAAGATTCGACTGACAACAGAAGATGAGCTAAAACGATTCGCCGAGATTGTAGAGCTTGGAGCCATAAACATAACCCTCACAGATTCGACGCCTGCGGAGCTGGGCAATCTTACGTCTTCACTTATAAATCTACTATCACCAGCAACAAAGGCAGCTAGCTGACCTTCACAGAAAGGTGGCCGCCCAGCTCTCTGGTAGCCAGAAGAGCACGCCTACGTGTGACGGTTAGGGTTTCCAAACAGGTAAACTAGTCCGTACTCGGTTTATGTTCGCAGAAAGCGTAGGGCGTTATGCTGAGTGGTGGGGTTGTCACGTCTCTTAATGATCAAGTAATGCGTGTTAGGCTTATTGATGTAAAGAAGTCTTATTAATAGCTGGCGAGCTAGGTTCTATCTAAAGCTAAATGAATGTTCTTATATACTGAGTGATGGTACTCGCTAGTACATCGAGGTTGGGGACCGAGATGTCTGAACGTCGGTTCTGGACCGTGACAGTGGGCCTTCGGTCCCGTGGTGATTGGTTGTGAGGTCATAGACCGAGATGGAACCCTTCGGTCCATGCTGACAGGCGAGAATTTTGTGGGCGACACGTGACGTAACCGCTAGGGTCGTAACGGCTAGGACTAAATATAGGGTTAAGCAATATATTGGTAGAGAGATAGAGCAAGGCTAATATTATCAACTTACTAGATAACTGCAATCTCAGGAGTCTGTTATGCTTATATATTAAAAAAGATCGCTCTATTAATTCTTAGACTATAACACTAACGAAGTAACAATAGCCAAACTTCAGATTATTCCATACCTAAATACCATATATTGCAGCTCCTACACTTAGTTGCTTCTATGGCTATTTGCTTAAAGTGTGTGGGAAATAGATTTCGTTGAGCTTGCGGCTCGAACCTCCTCGTCGATCGAAAGTATATGGGGTATGGGTCCAAGTGGAGCGATAGAAAATGGATTAATATGAGTATGACTCTTTGTGTAGTGCCATTTAATATGATCAAATTCGGTCGTCTCGCGGAATGCCTGATGGTTCCAGTACAGATTGCGCAGCCATTTATGCAAAAACGGATAACCCGACCTGATATCACGAATGTTACACTTGAAATGCTGCACGTATACGGGCTATATGCACCAGGTCAGCCTGAGAGATACACCAAGTAGGATCAGGAGGATATACATCAAATCTAATCAGAGTAACGTAGCTAAAAGGATATTAGCATGATGGACAATAATTATACCATGATAACCTACAGACGAATGTCGACTTCGGAAAGACTTTGACCAAAGTAATATGGACCATCTTTTTGCGAAGTCAGATGGGCCTCGGCCCTGTCGAGGGCCTCGAACAGAATAGAGATGTTTCGTTCATATACTTCTTGTGATGTGGCGAAACCCGTCTTATATACCCCATTATTTATGTCTTCGTAAATCCACGTGTTTGCCTCGATAATTTCCGCTTGAAGGTGTTCGGGATATAACTGAACTTGGCGGCTTTCGGCTGGGAGGAGATGGTCGAACTAGTGCATCAAGACTTAGCTAAAAGAAGTGGTCATGGTATCACTAGACCAACCTCTGTGTACAACATGCGGATGATCTCGCTACTCTCGTTGTTCACTATTATGTTTAGCTTCTTGTCGAACAGTATGGGGACGGTAAATCGGCCATCGTAGGCGGCATCCGATTCAAAATAGACTTGGCGAATGTGGGTAAAATCTTGGTGTCCTGCAATGGGATCTGGAACAACGAAATCGCCGGGCAGATGTTCGTCGCTACGCACGAAACGCCATCCTAAAAATCATCAGCGTATTTGTCTGCTATCTATGTGCAGTCAACAGACCTTTGCTATCAAGATCCCAGTGAACTGAAGAAAAGCTGATGAAATTCTCGAGCCCCTTCAGCCTTCGGACGATAAGGGTGCGATGGGCCTTCAGGGTGGAAAAGCCAGGGGTTAGCCTGGCCGGCTGAGTACGGTGTAAAACTGTGCGTACGTACCCATGGACAAGCATAGCTGACATAGAGATGATACCGATCTGGCTCGGGCGGAAATATGGCGCCGGGTTGACTTGAGATCCAGTTGCGAAACGAACTCGGCTTACGTTTGAACTCGCCGGAAGAGTCTACGACTTCTTTCCAGTCCGAAGTGACCTTATGTGCTCCCAAATTAGACTTTGCCATGTATGATTCTGTATGACGACAAACCATTTTCCCTGACTAATATTATGAACTCCAGTTCTTTCTCTCAATCGCACAGACAGTTGAATGCGAATGCTTTTAGAGCCTCCTAAGGTGTTTTCACCTGTCACAATCTTGAAACGGGGGATCGATAGTAGCTAGGATGTTTCGTAGCAATATGGGCTTGGCTACTGATCCTAAAAGAAACCTTCGGGATGCTAATGGCAGGAAGGTATTGCAGGACTTTGCACTAGAAACTCTGCTAAGGGTGTATGATTGAGATTTTCTATTCCGCCAGTATTGTGCCTTTTTGTATTTTTTTCTTATGGAGGGCTTACGGCTTTAGGTGTATTTGACTTTTTGAATTTGTCATCTTGAGCTAAACTATACAAATATGACGCCGAGCCGCGCGGGAGAGTGGGTGAATGCCAGGCACTATAAAAGTATAAATATGCAACACAAGGATCAGGCCAGTTGCTTTATCAGCATATCCGGCAATGCCAAATCATGTACCAACGCTCCCATCTTTCAGCGCACAGACCCCTCACCAAAAATCGCTTATCAGCTCTTATCAGCTCACAACCACACCTCTTAACAGCAAATTCAGCACTTAACCTAATAAAATAGGCTATTGAGCCAAATCGGGTTAGGTTAGCTAGGGGTTAGTTATAGGCCGAAGGCCACATTAGGGGTTAGGGTTACTTAGGGCTTAGAGTTATGGCTAGGGCTTTGGGTTAGAGGGGTATACCTTCTGTAATGTTAGTGCTTTTAGGTCGTTGATTGGTTTGTGCATGTTTCCCGGAGTGTTGAGTGTATGA